ATTTTTCCTTTCTACAATCCCATTTTGTTGGGGTGTGTTTACACATGAGGATTCATGGATTATTCCTTCCTTTTGACAAAAAGAATTTAGAGTATGATTGAAGTAATCTTTGGCATTATCAGACCTAATTATTTTTATATTAACCCCAAATTGATTTTTAATCATTGAAACAAACTGGAGAAAAACAGAATTGACCTCATATTTGTGTTTAAGAAGGAAAAGCCATGTTACCCTTGTACAATCATCTATAAAGGTTATAAACCATTTAGCCCCGGAAGTATTAGGAATATTAGAGGGACCCCACACATCCGTATGAACAAGATAAAATGGAGAATTTCTTACTTTATTGCTGATAGGAAAAGGTACACGCTTGTGTTTGGCAAGCTCACACACCTCACAATGAAGATCTTCTAGATTTAAATTTTTAAACAAGGAAGGAAATATTAAATTTATGACCCGAAATGAAGGATGTTCCAGGCGACAATGAAACAATTGGATATTTTCTTTGTTGGCCATGGAGGAGTCATATATTAAAGAGTGACTCTCAATGGGCAGACTCAAATCTTCCATGCAGTAAAGGTCATTCCATTCTCTAGCATGTCCAATCGTCCTCCCTAACTTCTTGTCCTGCAATATACAAGAGTTACTATGAAAAACTACATTACATAAGAGGTCCTTCGTAAGTTTTTGTATAGATATCAGACTTTTGGATAACTTAGGGACATGCAAAACATTTTTTAGTATTATGGTTGGGGTTATTTGGACATTTCCTTCTCCAACTGCAATTATGAGGGTTCCATCAGCTGTAGAAATTTTCTTGCTGCTAGGACATGGGGAATATGTGGAGAAGTGTTTAGGGAATGGTGTCATATGGTCTGTGGCTCCAGAGTCTAGTATCCAATAATGGGAAAATGGGGTATTTGAGACATTAAATCCACAAGAAAATGGAAACTTAGTAGAGTATGTCAATGAACACATACCTGTGGGTTTTTCCAATTTACTCAGAAAGCACCTTACTCTTTCTAACTCCTCATGGTTGAGTTATACAGATCATTCCTGACTTTCAGGACCAGTAGCAACATAAGCTTGCCCTCCTCTCCTTGGAAGGCCTCCTTTGTGTCCCCAATCTTTACTTTGAGGTTTTCCATGTAACTTCCAGCATTTATCCCTTGTGTGACGTGGCTTGTTGCAATAGGTGCACCAAACTCCTTCATTTTTCTTCTCTGTTCTTGGAAGAGGACCTACTTTTTTTTGTTCTGCAACCATGACTGTTGCTCCTTCAATAAGCATTGCTGAATTATCCTCAATTGGGGTCTCTATCATTAGACTTCTTCTACTTTCTTCACTCCGAATAATTGCCATTACTTCATTGAGTTCAGGAACCTTCTCCTTGCCTAATATTTGGATTCTGACTTGATCATATTCTTGGTTTAGGCCTACCAAGAAATCATACACCCTATCTTGTTCTATGTATTCTCTTAGAATTGTTGAATCCTCATAACACTTGGCCTTTATGACCCTGTAATTATCTAACTCCATCCATAAAGATTTTAGTTGATTAGCATATTCTGTGATAGTTTTAGTGCCTTGTTTGGTTGCCATTGTTTTTACTTTCACCTCATAAATTTGGGCAGTATCCTTTGCCTTAGAGTAGGTTTGCTCTGTTGCATTCCATATAGCCTTTGTAGAAGTTAGGAACATGCATGTATCGCTAATTTCTTGAACCATTGAGTTCCATAGCCATGCCATGATCATGGAGTCTTCTTCATCCCATGATTTGAATCTGGCATCTTCTTCTAGAGGGCATCTTCAGTGAGATTGCTAACCTTTCCTTTCCCTTTTAGAATGGTCTTAATGAGTTGAAACCATTTAAGATAATTTTTTCCATTCAATCTATAATATGAATGAACATTATGCAATTCTCCCGTACTTTGGAACTTGTCTACATTTTCCATTTCAACCATTACAAAAATGTGCAATTAAGGCACAAAAAAACGAAGATTGATAATTTGGAGGAATGAAGGCTGGGATGGAACTCTAGGGTTGGACAACAATGAAGGTTGTGATGGACCTCTAGGATTGGGCAACAATGAAGGCTCTGATGGAACTCTAGTGTTAGGCAGTAATGAAGGCTGCAATCAAAACACACGGTCAAAGGCTCCTAAGGATCGAGAGCTCTGATACCATCTTGAATTATGGAGAGAGAATATATTATTTTCTATTATATGTCTCCTTACATGCATTGGATATATATACAAGATCTCATTGAATGAGCAGCCTATTCTACGAAACAAATCCCTAAAATTGTGGGATTGTTATTCTAATAATAATAGCAAGATACAGGGAATATAACAAATTAAATACATGGAAATAATATTTAAAGTTTCCTAAAATATATTTTGACATACATCGTGATTTGTTTACAAGTTACAAAAAGTTATGAAAACTTTATTCAACCCCCCTTCTAGTGTTTTCCTGCACCTTCAAAGTCTTACCTAGCCAAAGTTTACCTCACTATTTACACGACCACTTTTCACAAAAGGATTTGCTTTTGAAATTAGAAGATTAGACTCAAACAAACAAACACTGACTCTAAAACCCCTAAACACTAAAAAGAACAAACTCCTAAGTAGTAAGGCTTAGTATATAAGATCTTTTAGCCAAACTACACCTACATATAAAATGTAAAACAACTAGGTGAATCCTACAGTAAAGCTTGTTATCTTTGGCTTCAAAGACACACTCATCGACTACACCAAGCTATTACAAGATATACACAATGCCAAGAAATGGAAGAACACCAAAGGTTCTTTTAAGACACTTAGCTTAAAGGCCTTTACAATTAAAGAAATCAAAATTGTTTCAAGTAGCAAATTAAAATATCATGTTTACAATGCCAAAGCCTCTCATGTTTAAACTCAAACTTCTCTCTAAATCTATATTTAACCCTTCTTGGGGAGTCATCCTTTGCTTGAAGTTTCTCTTAAGGTTCCAGCCCCTAAGATGCTAGCTACCATTAGAACTATTCCACCTTCCGAGAAATGATTTTGCACCACAATTTCAACACCAAACCGAGAAGACCAAGAAATAAACACAAGAAAAAAATACAAAAAAAAATTAGTTAACTCAAATGGAGAGTAATTGAAACAAGACAAAAGATAGCCAATAATGATAAGCAAAGAAACTAAGGTTGCATAAACAAGGTAAGCACTTAAAGTATGAACTTGTAAAATAACTCTTTATAGATTTAAAACACCAAAATACCAATCTAGAATGAAAATAAACTTATTCTACTAACCTTTGTCGAGCCAAAACAAGTGAATTTGCTCACAATTTGTTATGGTTGAGCTCACAAATGAGAAGAACAACCATTGATTACTGAACTCAACATTTATGGCCATTCACATACAAAGCCCAAGAGCTAAAACTACCATATCATGCCATTTTTTTCCCTTTTTGTTTCTTTTACTCTTTTTTTAAAAACTGAATTTGTAGAATGCTCAACCAAATAAGATTTTGGTAGCTCTCAGGACTATGCAGTGAAACATAATTAAGGCTGATACAATGCAAAAATGGAATAAGACAACAAAATTTAAAGAACTCAAACATAACACAAAGAAAAATCTAACTCTAGGAACTTGATATTGATCTGGTATCAAGCATGAAGTGAAAATGAAAACATAAAAATGACACTCAAAGATAAACAACTTCGGTGAAAATGGTAAACATCATGACTGCATAATTCAAATCTGTCATCGAGCTCATTTCAAGCTCATTCATAGATCCAATGGTTAACAAAAATTTTCAATGTAGAGACCATTGGAATTGATTGAAATGAAATTAACTGGTTAAAACTTGGAATTCATGATAAGTTAATCAAATAACATCACTAGAAAACATGGATATGATTTTTAAAATTCAAAACAAACTCAAATTCAGAAGAAATCACCGAATAAAATGATCAAAACTCAAACAAAATCATGCACAAACACATGTATGGATTCGTAATCAATTAAACCAAAAGATTCAAGGATGAACAACAAATTGAACCTTCATTTTTCTTTTAAATACTCATTAGATTTGAATATGAGAATTTTCAAGATATTTAAGAGATTGTAGTGATAATACGGAAACATGAAGGAACTGAGACTTAGGTCATGATGACCATGAATTATGCTAGCTTTTAATACCACTTGATGACGTCTTGTGCTCCATTAAGATAGGCCGACTTGGATTAGTGGAAGACAAGCATTGAGATTGTTCAGTGTGGAGTGTGAGTGGAGTTTTTAGCAAGGAAAATTTCTAGAAAAGTTGGGCCTATTCTAGGAAAGGAGGCTAGAGGAAGCTAACTAAGAATCTCTAACCAAGGACTCTCAAGAAATGAAAAAGTCTAAAGTGATCTGAAGATATTTCGTTAAGCATTAAAGAGTTGGTTTTACAATGATGGAGGTCTCTATTTATAGGGAAGGAGACTTCTAAATTCTCGAGTAAATGATTTCCATCACATGTCCCATTTACATGTTGTGAATCACGGATCAAAGGATAAGGGTCACCTCATGAGTTGTATGCTTTTACCCATGTATGTAATGTGCTAATGTGAGGTGTTCTAGAATAAAGGACCAACCACTTGTACATAGCTCGGTAGCCCGATACTTAGTTTGGAGCTCAGTAACTCGACAATTAGTATGAAACTCGACAGCAGGATAATCAGCATTGAGCTCGTCAGACAAAAGAGGAGCTCGAAAAGTCAACAGAGGAGCTTAAATGGAACAAGGAACTCAGCAGGTCGACATGGTAGCTCAGATGGATCATGGAAGCTCGGTTGGAGGCAAGGGAGCTCAGCTAGACCATATGAACTCGATTGGAAGTATAGAAGGTTGGTTGGAAGTCCAGGAGTTAAACTGGAAGCAAGGAGAAATCGGTTGGTAGCATTGTTAAGACAAAATTGTCTATCAGACTTATATGTCTAAACACTCTCATGTTTTGAAGTTTAATCAAATAACATTAAACGAAACAAGAATATGAAAATACTTAAGTTGAGGAATAACATAGGTAGAAATACAAATGATAGAAACAAGATTCCGAAATCATCCATCAACGTAGAAAAGTCTTAGGAAAATACTTAGGAAAATAACTAGGTTAAATGCTTCCAGACGCAACGCTAAACCCGTAAGCTATATTGTACCTAGTGGTATTCAGTTGAACTCTCACGAAGCAAAAAAGAAAGGTGTCGAGACAAAGTCTTTGACCAAACCCTCTAAAAGCCTTAAACAAAGATCGAAAAATTATAAAAGAAGAAACATGTTAAACGCTCAAGCCCTAAACAACAATATTCCAAAAAACGTTTATAACGAACTAAACGGTACCATAAGCTAAAATCTTTACTTTGTTCGACGATGAAGTTCTTACTCAACGAATGGTATCTTAAGGAAAAGCTTAAATGATAAACATTACCTCAACAGTAGAAAATGTAAAATGCACTTTGTTGTTCTGAACAAGCATTAGATGTCATTAGATGCTTAAAGTTTAAAAACAACAAAAATGATAAGAGATAAGACATATATGTTGCATGCACTATCTACTCTATTTTATGCAAATAACCTACTACACGTATCCATTGCTTTATTTGAAATATATTAGAAGTGGACGTTAGAGATAAAGAAGACATTCACAAAATGTTCTCTTCATAAGAAGAAGTGCCTGAAAGAAAGTACAACCTATATCAAGTAAAATACTGAAAAAGTATGTCTGCTCTAACAAGTTGACTTTAACCGACGACTGCTTCACACACAAGATAGAGAAAACACAAGAATCAAGACCAAGAGCTCAGTCTAACGAATCCCTTTTGAAAAAGCCTTTAAATAGAAGATTATTCAAAGGAAGAATCAAGAGGATAACTTACAACATAAATATCAATACTACGAAAAGCATTTAGAAGAGAAGCACGAAGAAGTTCAAGCAAAAAGAGAATATTGAGAAGAGATAAAGAGAAAAGTCAACCAATACTCTCAGAAAACATTGTAATATTTGCTTACTATTGTAAGAAGAGAAAAGAGAAAAGAGAGAAACACCAGTGAGTCTGTATCGTATTGTATTGAACATATATCCTATGTGTGATAGTAATAGTCTAAACGACTTGTAAGCAATCGTTGATTGCAATTTTGAAGAGAATTAAAATTTGGATTGAAACTCTAAGGAGTTAAGGAAATCTAGGCAGCGTATAAGAGGATACCAAGATTGTCTAGTACCATGAGTGATGCGAATACTCAACTAGTCTAAGGTAACACCCCCCCCCCCCCCCAAGTGTCCCCATTTTTGACTTTTGAAGATTGATTATACAAGTAAGTTGGTTGTGATAGAATTTCCAAGTATGCCTATTTATGTCCTTTGAAGATTGATTATACAATGAAGTTGATGGCTGAAGTTTTCATAAAAATGGTGGTTAAGTTACATGGCATTCCAAGGAGAATTGTATTAGAGATAAAGTTATCACAAGCCACTTTTGGCTTATCATATGCAATAATGGGCAATATAAGGCTTTGATTCGATGCTTAGAAATGTATTTAAAATGCTTTACTTATGACTCTCCTCAAAATTGGGTAGAGTATCGGTACAATACATCATACCATACTAGATTGGCATGACCTCATTCAAGGTGGTCTATGATAGAGAACCACCATAAATTGCTAAATATGTTCCTAGTGACAAAGATTCACCTTCTGCTCAAGAGGTACTGATTGAAAGAGAGAGGGTTCTCCACAAACTCACACTTAACCTTTAAAAGGCTCAACAAAACATGAAAAAAATATGCTAACAAGAGGCACATGCCTATGAAGTTTAAAGCAGGGATCAAGTGCTAGTAAAACTACAACATTATAGGCAACATTGAGATGTTTTAAACAAGAATAAAAAATTTGAGCATGCAATATTTTGAATACTTCAAGATGATTGAGCACATAGGACAGGTTGCATGTAAACTCTTAATACCATCCAAAGAGAGAATTCGTCTTGTTTTTCATTCCTCTCCATTGAAAACTTGCAAGGGAAATCATTCCTTTCCCTATACCCCTTCCTATTGTTCAAACAAATTCAACTCCAATCATTTAGCCTACTGATATTCTTAAGAGTCGTGTTGTGCTTTAAGGCAATCAACACATTCAACAACATCTAGTGCGGTGGGAAGGGTTAGATGCATATTGGGAGGATCATAAGCCCTTAAAAGCAACATTTACACACCTTAACCTTGAGGGCAAATTGCTCTTAATGGGGAAGGAATTATAATAAAAAAAATACAAAAAGGACAAATGAAGAAAAAACAAATAGAAGAATCAATAATTGGGAGGACTAATGGCCAGACAGCAAGAGATGAACAAAATCAACAAAAGAGAGTAAGTGGGAGAATTAAAACTATGAATCCACATTTCAGGGATTACAAGTGGGCAGGATCCAATATATAGCCATTTTGTTATTGAAAGAGGAAGGAAATATATTTGGTAATCTTCCTTTTTGTTGCCAAGATCGTGTAGGCCTATTTTGGATTTTTCTTTCCTCCTTTTCTGTGTATGCTACTCTGGTAGCCATCTTTACCATTATAAGAAACTCATACACGACATGATACATACAAAATTATTTGTTTGATTTTTTGTTACATAACCATAACCATAACCATATTAGTGAGAATTAGAGGAAGTAAAGTAAAAGCACGACAATGAAAATTAAAGACAAAAAAGAAAAATGGAAGAAAACAAAGCTAGTGTGAAGCTGTCAAAGTTTGGATAAAAGGATAACATAATCAGTGTCAAGCTATCTTTCCACCTATGAGGAAGATCAAAGAGCGAAAACTGTCACAAATCTGTCTTCACAAGTTCACGAACACTCGAATTCTTCACTTTTGTTTGATTAGCTATATTACATTAAGGGATATAAACTCACATCATTATTAGTGTACTTAGCCTTTACCAAGTAGCAAAGAGGAAGAATCAGAAGATCAAACCGAAAGAAAACTCGCAAGGTAACTTGGTATTTAAAAAACATGAGAAGGTGGATGTAGAATATGAGGTACAAGAGTTCATTTTCGTACCTTATATATTAACAGCACAAAATAAACTGTCAATAAAATTAAACTTCTTTGTTATTACTGTGACCAAGAAAAGTTTTACCAAATTCCATGATGATTGTCAAATATTCTTAGTAGAAAACAAACATCTCAGCCAAATTCTTTAAGACAGCAATCATTCTCTCATTGAATCTAAGTCCATGTGTTAACTATATAAAAAATTGAATAAAACCAAAGTTCACATCTTAATGATACTCAACACATGTAATGACATTCATATACTCACAGTATCAGAATAAAAACATAATGAATGATAATGAATGATAATTAAATAAGATATTGAAGTTGAAAGGAAATAAGTCTCCTATTATAGACAGCCATTAGTCTTTTAAATAATATTTGTTATTTGTTACTGTATTAAGTCATATTAAATTGTTGTAATTAAATAATATATCAGATGTAACAATCGACCTGATAAGTTTTACTTTTTGACAATCATACAATTGATACCATAAATAATAACTGATTTATATCCGAGCATGGAACTACTTAAAAACAGAAGCATGGAAACATTCTAACTTAAAGATAAAACAATATGCAAAAAGCTACTTGTGCGTCTAAAACGTAAATGTCACGGTTCCCTACACACATTTTCTGTGCCATTTATTACAAAGGTTTCATAAAAAATCAAGTATAATTTTGAGTTCCCCCTTTAATGGGCTAAAACAAGCTTCGACAACTGCAGAACAAGGTTGGACACTTGTCAAGCTTTGAGGGTCTACTGTTCTAGGTGTTCCAAGAAGCTTAACTCCCTGCTTCCAGTACTTCCTATCTGCAATCTTAAAATGGGAACAATAAGCTATAGCTCAGTTTTAGATCCTTTACAAGAATGAGTTTAGTCTTAGGTCTTGATTTAGTCTTTCATATATAAATTATAATTCTGCAATGTTATAAAAGAGAGGAGCTTCATAGGTTTAGTTAATATTAGAAAGGCAAGTGGGAGTGACCTGGACCAGTTGAAATCACAATAGAATTTTGTAAATCCATGACCCAGTCAATCCATAATACAAATCCATGACATACCCCCCTCTTGGTGAACTTAACCTGCAACAGACAATTTTCAATATTCATTGTGTAAAAATGATTTGTATTTGCTAATTACTATTCTGTAAGATATATAGACGATATAATTAGTCAATTAATCGCCTATGCAATCTCCAATTAATAACTGGTAAATAATGAGCATGCTTCTCTGGAGCTAATAATAATTACTCAGTTAGTAAGCTACACCAGGGACTAACTATTGTGCAATCCTTCGTTGAAAGGAAACTTTTTTGAAATCTGATAACTAGACATCATAGTCCCTGACAACGCCAAGTACCAAACCTGCTGATGATGCCAATGCGTCCAAAACTTACATGATGATATGTCATAATACCTGGGATTTTCCTTGACATTCGCATATTTGTTTTGAAAACTCAAACTCCATCACGTCAAATGTCTCACTAAGCACCTGAAACATTATGCAAAATAACAAATTGATACTAGTACACTATTGTTATTTGATAAGTGGAATTTTCTTCACTGAGGGAACCAGCTCTAAACATGAATTACATCAAATTCTCCACACTGCCAGACGAAAAAAGGGAGACAGGGACCGTCTTCTAGTTCTGGTAGATGACCGCAGGCCCCCAATGTAGCATTTACCACTGAATGGTCAAAACCTTCAATACTACTCAGGCAACAACGACTTTTCCAAAGATCCTGCAAATTGTGTCCCATTAATCCATGTATACGGCTCCACTACCAACTAAAAAAGAATAGTTATGTTCTCTTAATCCAATGCATAAATAAAAGAAAAATTCCTAAGCTACAAATTTGAGCTTTGATTAGTTCCCAATAACTTACAGGAAGAGACATAGCGCATGCTCTCAATATTCCTTTACTAGGAATTGTCAGAGCATCTTCTGAGAGTATATCATTAAGTGTAGTACGATCCCTCCTAAAAGCAGAAAAAGTAACTTCAGAATGCTAAGTGCCAAATTAAAATCATATTGTCATTGATCATTTATATTTGTTAAAACACAACTATTATTAAAATAAAAAAGAATTGATCACTGCAAGAAAAGTAAATAAAAAATATACCAAAATCGTAGGTTCTGCCATGGCAGCATACCATCGTGTCCTACATAGAAAGGTTCAGCTATTAACAGATCAACCTACACAAAAGGGAGAAATGGCTTAAACATTCAAGGAAAAGGAATTAACGTCACATGTACAGCATAGATATTGTTTTCTACAGAATGCAACATACGTTAAGACAAACTACTTAAAATGAAATCAATATGTACCAAAATATAAAAAAAACAATAAAGGTTTTGATGTAGGATAACTGAATAGTATCCTTGGCAGGTGCTTCCTTGAAAAACCTGTAGTAATCCTCTTGGACGAAGTGTTCAACCAACTCAAATCTTACGTACTCTCTACAACAACAAGCCTTGCGTAGTCAAAATCAAGATCTTACTTAAGATCGGAAAGAAAAATATATATCATAAATCGGAATATCGTAACACGGATAGTATGAATGTACAAATTTTCTGAAATTGATATTCACATAAAAAATCATTATGTCATTCAAAAAACAGAAAGATAGATTAAATTGGAATGAGAGTGAAGGGAGTTTGGAAGTTCAATTAGATAGCTGAAGGAAGAGTGGGAATTTGTGTGGTTTAGAGAAGGACGAGTGGCAGTCGGGACACATTTTAATGAAGAGCAGCAGCGGCAGTTTTCAGTGTGCAGTGGCAATTTTCCTCACTTACAGGAGAGAAGGAGCCACTGTTTTTTAATTTTTCAGTGTGCAGTGGTAGTTTTCCTCACTAGCGGAAGAGAGGGAGTCACTGTTTTTTTACTTTTTCAGTGCAGCAGAAGTTTCCAAAGAGTCACTTCTTTATTTTTTGGGGACAGCTTCCAGAGTCACTTTTTTTTATTTATTTTTTGGGTGCAGTATGAGTTTTAGAGGAAGTCATTTACTAATTGGGCTTAAAAATGTTTTAAACTAAAGTTTTAGGGTTTAAAACGGGTCTAATTAAAACCCACTAAAAAACCCTAGAGCTATCTGTCACGACTCACGAACCCGCACACGAGAAGCTAGTGTCGAGGCTGAACGACCCCCAGGTACGTCAACACCACTAGAAATGCTGCTGCAAGTCATTGTCGAGAGAGGAAGTACTGTAGCAATGTCTCTCACTTGTTGCTGGAGGGATTACATTGGGAGAGGCGCTGCCATGAGTCTCATTGCAGCGAGAGTAGCCGCAAGTGGCATCTCCATGATGAGCCCCACTGCAATGTCTGGCGGGTTCTCCCTTGCCATTGGGAGAGATTATATAGCAAGACTCACCATTTCCACACGAGTTGTGAGTTTTAACGACTATCCAAGCCGATCCAACAAAATCGTAACTTCCAACTAACCCTTGATTGAGGAAGGGGAAGAAGATCGTAGACTCGTACGATGTTATGGGTTGAAGCGCGATTTTGACGACCATGAGTCTTATCCCACTAAATAAGGCTGATTACATAAACCATACAATGCCATTGGACTCTGTTAAAGACCAAATGTTCATCATGAGATCCCTCTTTATAAATTCCTCGTACTCAAATATCAAATCCTCTTTAAGTGAATGATATTCACTACCATATATTAACTAAGACAGTTCTACATGCTTACACTGAAGATCTATTTATTGACCCAACATTGACAAACACCCTAATAAGTCATACACTGGAAAAAATAAAAAGAAAACTTAGGTATTTGAAGATAAAAGATAATATGATTCAAATTGTATTTTGTAAACCCGTACAAGAGGGTATATATGGAACTCCACCACCTTAGAATAATGATTACAATATCCCCTATAGGATCCTACAAGATCCTAAGTTTCATAATGACAATGATAATATCTCCTCAAAACTCAACATCTCTTTTCAAAACTCAACACATACTCTAAGCTGGAATATGATAACGTGAAATGGCAGAAAAATTCTAGATAACATATAAAATAAATAAATAGAAAAGAAAGTGGTCCATTTTTACATCAGGTTTATTACTAGGAGGAAATAGGACCAAATATTGTTTAAATACAATAATCACATAATAAAATCTATGCATTTACTACTAATTTGAAAAGATGAGCCAGTGTTCACGAGCTCAAAAATTAAGTAATAAAGTTCCATATAAAAAATATAAGAAGCAAAGTAAAACAATATTTTCTGAATTAATGTCCATTTCACTGCTTCCAAGTCTCTCGGTCCAAATGCAAAGTTATTCCAAATTTAGGATTTACCCATCAGACATAAGTGGAGTATCTATGATATATGTTTCTAATTGAAGAAATAATAAATCAACCAAGTGGAATTAAGAAAATTCAACCTTTTTCTGATGTATATCATGCATGTTTAACTGTTGCACGTTTTTTTCAAGAACTTCAATGCAACTATGTGACAAACCATTTGCATGGGCAACTGCTTGCAGGTATTGGAGGCCCCTTTCCCTCAATCCAGGAAGTAATGACATTACACTTGCTTCGGAAAGCTTTGCTACAAGAAGTGGTAAAAAGACACTATCATCTACAACCAAGCATAACAGGCGATCTTTTCCCTGCAATTGCAAACATGATCAGTTAAGGTAAAGTAAATAGAATACGTTAACCTGAATTATGAAGTACGAGCTAAAAGAAGTCTTAGTCTATAATTTGTTTCGTATACAAGTGAAAGCTCAATCATATGGCATGGGAAGGAGTTTGAATAACTTACCATGCTTTGTACTGCTTTCAACATTGAAAGCCTCCATTCTTTATCTGCATAAATTGCAGCTCTTTCTGGTGGTAGTACAAGCTGAAAATCTCCTGTCATGCACCTATGGTTCAAAATCTCAGTAGTTGGTACTAGGGTATCAAAATTATATGAGAAACTAGTTTCAGTATGAGTAGCAAGTAAACGAATTTCTTCCCCTTGGAGTATGGAAATACCACTGCCTGGAACGAACCAAACACACTGTTTCCAGTGGTCACACCAACCAATAGGACCTAGGGTAGAACCAATGCAACATCATTAATGAAGACTCTAAAATATTAACAATTAACAATAAAAATTATAAATATTCACAAGATATGGATGATTAATAATAATATATGTCATATTTCATATTTCATATAACTTTCAAACATATCAAACCCATGTATGATAATAATGTAGTGTGTAACTTTGAAGTACATGCACCCTAACTAACAAACGAAATCATAACAGACTCTCACTTGTAATTGTCGGTGAGCTTATCCACCTTGGAGCAGTGGAATAATAGATAGTCCCTTCCTGATCAAGTTGAAGTACCCACCTGAATCACACACAGGACTGTGAAAGGAAATAAAATACTCTAATAACACAATTAAAATAGCATTAAAAAACACATGATTACCAAGAGACCACAACATGAACTCTCCCATCATTCGTTGCCTTTACACACAACTCAGTTTCGCCATAACTCTCTGGCCGTTTCCAAAAATCAAATTCAAAAATTTTGAAGGGTTCTGAAAGCTAGAGGATCTTAACTTGAGCATGAAATATACTACTATTAATAATGTTTAAGTGAGTAACAGAATTGTCATTAAACATACCAATGTTATTTCTTCCTGTAAAGGATTGACATGCATAGCATATTGCTGACGTTTGATACCTAGCACACAATCAAGTCCTGGAGGAGTAAGCCGAATGCTATCAGATACAGTAGCCTCGTTGTTATGAAAATCATGCAACTTCCATAAGAATGTGCTTTCAACCAGCTGAAGAAAAGTTACAAAGGAAGAGGAGGCATAAATCTCTGTTAGAATCAAGTCAAAACTCAAATGAAAGGAAAGAGAACAATGAAAATGATCTTCATAATGATAAGAAGAGTGTTAGAAACATACTCCCTAACCTACTGCTTCTAAAACATTATCTATCATTGGTTAAATTTATTGAAAAATACAAATTATGAGACTCATTAAATAATAAGTGAGATCCACAAAAATTGATGATTTATAATAAATTTTAGTCCATAGTAAAAATTTGTTCAAACAAAAAATGGTACGGGGTGCGTTACTAACAAAATAGGGTTAAGTTTTAATGATATTTTATATGCTTTTATCATTACAATGGTATGTCCATACTCAATGATGACCCAGAAGAATGTAGTATGTCATGTCCCCTGATTACCTGTCCATATATAGTTGCTCGATATGGCACAGTCATGGCATTTTCCACCAACAAATTGTCATGTGCATGTTGTAGGGTCGGTATAAGCCCCTCACCCAGTAGCTCTGAATCAAGTATCTCGCTTACCTATAACAATTATCTCAATTCAACTTTTTTTTTTGAAGGAGGAATGACATCAAAGGCATTAGCTTGTGCTCAAAGGATCCCACTTCTCCAATAAAGTGAGATGATTAATATCAGTCGTTGATAAGAAAATCAAAGGTTGATAATTTATGCAGGCGGACACACGTAAATATCAAGCATTGGTTTAGTCACTAACAACTTAGATTGCATACTTTACCCTTACTGACTCTAAAAGGGTGAATCCATATATTTGTTTTGAAACCTCGGCTGTTAAAGTTAAATTTTCAAAATGATTATAAATCTATTTTCATGCCTTCAAAGGAATTTTGAGAGCTTATGTACTGAGAAAAAAATCTATACATTTTAAGCAGAAAACTTCTCATAAGCACTTCTAACTTGTATCCAGACATTCCTATTATTCATTTGGCTATCTAAGAATCAAAACGTGTCAAGTGATGATAGGGGAAGGACACTTACAAAAGTTCATCAAGATGAGAATTTTGAAAATGAAACTTACAAGAACATGTGCTCGCGAAGGCATATCAAGACCAACTTGGAGTTCCTCAGAGCGCTTGTTGATGATTTTGACTCTTCCCTCCATGCCATTAAGGCGCAACACCTTCTTCATCAGCTTCACCATGGGAAGGTAAGATTCACAAGCTGTGACCTTCCCTTCGTCACCCATGGCACGTGCAGCCATCATCGAAAGCAACCCAGTTCCAGCACTGACCGATTATAGTGGCATCATGTTATACAAAGAAGTCAGCGACTAAAATCAAATTAAGTCACGCCTATATTTTTATTTATGAATGTAGAGTACCCGATATCGAGGACATGGCAAGGTTTGCTGATGGTTTTCTCAATGGCGTGGCGAAATGCCGCGTTTCTGGTGGAGTCATTAAGCATGTCCAAATACGACGTCGTGGCAAGGAAAGGCTTGTGGAAATTCTGAGCGAAGCTCTCGTCATTGTCTTCAATGACGATCCATTCAGAGTTACCTGTTAACGGATTAAGTTTAAGCTGGAACGCGCGGTGGGAGGACATGTTTTCTTAGTTTAAAAGGATAGGTGGGGATTTCGGAGAGGAAACTTAGGGTTTTAAGGAAACACAGGTGAAACGGTTGATGAAATTGAAAATGATATTTACTCCATTTTGTAGGAAAATGAATATCAAAGCCAGTTTCCCGGACAAAAAAATTAAAGGACGGATACATTTCATTGTAAAAATAATTCTGATAAAATATTATTTGATTATAAATATTTTGTAATTACGTAACATCTAATTTTTATTTTTATTTTAATATAGTATTACAATATAATTAATAAAAATAATTCCTTTTACTTTTTATTATTTGTGATTATATTTATTAGATGAAATATGTATAATTAAATATATTATTTAATAGTTATCGTATAAGGGGTCGAGATGTTCATGATCCTTTTATAAGTTATTAAGTTAATTTTATTTAATTATTAAATTAATTTTATTTAAGTAAAATAATAACAGTATTATTAAGTTAGTAATTAATAAATTAAATATAGTTAAATTAATTTGAGCCATATCTTAATAAATACGGAATTAATTTTCAATCATTTAATTTTTATAAAATCTTACACACAAAAAAAGTTAACAAAACGTCTAACCTAATGAAATTAAAATTAATAATTAAAAATAATATACAAAAATATAAAGGTGAATTTGATAATAATAAGTGAAACAACAAATTAATAAAATATTTTAAAATAATTATATTAAAACAAGTTGATTTCACCTCTTTCAAAAGAGATTATTCATTGATTAGATATAGACTATCATTAACTTTATTATTAGTATAGATTTTTAAATCAATCAATGTAAAGTTTCAAATGATTTATTGGCCTTCTCACTTCTAATCAAAGTATAGTCTCAATTAAAAATAATAACTTTTAGATTATCCACCGTAAAATCAATCAAAATACATTCTTAATCAAATTTTATTATATTTTCGCCTATTCCTTTGTCTCACAAAGTAAAAAGTTAATTAATTAAAGTCAAGTCTTGACTAATTTTAGTTAAAATGATTACCTCTAATCAAAGTAAAGTCTAAATTATTGGTAAAAATTTATTTAACCACATAAAAGTTTCTAAATTAAATCAAAGCATAGACTCGATTAAATTTAAAAAATTGTGTTCCTTTCTAGGTGAGTCATTGTTTACAAACATTGGGCAATCGAATTTGCACGTAAAATTATATTTGTTTTCACGTATTTTAAAGTGAGAAGAGACGAAGATTTGTGAGATTGAGAGGTTTTCGAATTTCTCCTCAACTGCACTTATTTGAGGGTATTATGTATGAAAATACACTTTTACCCTCAACTTTGATTGTTTAGATTCATAAAGGAGTTGAAATCGATTCCATGGATATGAAGAAAGAGTTAGATTCCAACATGTTTGTTGAACTCGACCAACGTTTATTAGCTCGACAAGGACGTAGGTAAGCTCAACCAGACGTCGTTGAGCTCTACAAAGGCGTTGTGGAGTTCAACTAGACGTGGTTATGGAGACTTGTGAAGTTATGGAAAAACACTAAAAGGGGGGTTGAATAGTGTTTTCGTAATGCTAATTGTTTTCAGCAATCAATTGCCTCACTTGATAATTATTTCTTTAATAGAGGTATCCTCTAGTAGACCTAGTGAACCTACCACATGATTTGCATCCTTATCACCCTTCAAGTTCTTCTTTTCTCCAAACGCTTCTCCTTCCGTCTTGGAGCATTTCCTAAGTGAAAGAAATGAAATGCCTTATATCTCAAGCCAAGAGGGGAAGGGTGAATTGGATTAGCCCTTTTAAAATGATTTTTTCAAAATCTTGATGAGTTTTTTTATCTTTCTTGAAATCAATAAACAAAAAAGGATGAATCAACAAGAGAGAAGAGATAAAGAAAGATCAACACAGACAATCTATATTGGTTCGGCTAATCTCAAGCCTACATCCAGTCCTCCTTCAACACCCTAAGTTGAAGAGATTCCACTATATATGATTGAGTTTACAAAAATACTGAGATACCTCTCTCAATGCACTCCTCTCACAACTCAAAATCAATATAGCTACCTAAGAGATGAACAATCATCAATTTCTTAATACAGGAGCACTCATAGCCCTTAACCCTTGGCAAACCCACACAGGAACACAATACAAAGATTGTCAATGAAGAACCTAGTATCTAAGATACATTCCTCTAGTGTAGATCAAATCAAAACTACTTTAGCACACTTTTCTTGAAAGAATCTTGATGTATAAGCAACCAATGAAGCCTTGATTCTTCAAGATAACTTCTTGAACCCTCATGTAATTAAAACTCAATGAAAGCGTTAGTATTTTAAAATGATATCAATTCTTTTTCTGAAACAGGTCTAAAGACGCATTATATATAGGATTTTTCAAAACCTTACGCATTATAATCGATTAAGGTTTTTATGTAATCTATTAAGCTTTTCCTTTGTGTTAACAGATTATCTTGAACATGTAATCGATTATAGAAACACATAAGTCAATTATTGATTCAATTGACAGTTATAATATATCAGGCTATTAAATGCAAAGGATTAGACAAAGTAAACTGATTTAATCGATTAGAACACTTATGTAATCGATTAATCCTATGCTTAAGCAAATTGTTTATCCAATTTCCATTTTAAACAAATTACATTACTTATCAAACAAATTATGGCATTGCTTTCTGTTTTAATCGATTATATTACTTATGTAATCGATTACTACAAAGCAGTTTGCCCCTATTAAACATATTAAGTGATCTAGTGAAATCTAACAGATTATATACAATGTTTAATCGATTGTTTCAACCAGAAATGAGTTATTCAATCTATTTTAAGCATGATTCATTTACCAATAATAAATTCATATATCAAGAACAAACATAATAAAGATATAGCAATTGTTATGTCATTTGTTGTGCAAGAAACCATAAAACCATTCTTTTGTTCATCATAAACAACCAAGACATATAAGGAGGTTAAAGCTCCCCCTATCAACACTAAGGTTTCTTAATTCATTGAGATAAAGTTTTTTTCCTCTTACAACACCATTCTAGAGAATGTCATCCAGAATTAGAGTTGGAAAGGTTGGAGTTGATATATGGTTGATAACTCCTTGCTCAACAAATATTCTAAAGATGAGGTGAGAGTAGTACGCCCTTCCGTGTTGGTCTCATGGTAAGCCAGATTTCGTGACAGATGAAGGAAAATAAGATGAAGAAGATGAAAGTCAGTGTTGGTAATGAGATTAAAGAATGCAAATTTTTCTAACTCGGTTACTCCACTGTTAAAGTTAGAGTTAGAGTGCAGAAAGGTTCTCCTGCAGATGTGGAGGAGAGCCTTTGCTGGCTCGCTTAGTTTTTCAACGACAATGTCATTGTAGATAAACTTTCTCTCCATGTTCTCTCCGTAGAGAACATGTTCCACCTTCCCATCGAAAGCGTAGATTTCGTCCCAGTCCTCCATGAAACAATCATTGAATCGAGAGCAGTTGATTGCTTCGGCTATGGTGTCAATACTAACAACAATTGTCTTTCCAGCGACTACTAATGTTATGTAGTCGGCTCAACTTTAGCATTTTTCCAAAAATCTCTTACTAGTTCTAGAATGATAGGCTTATCCTATGAAAAGTAGTTTTTATGCTCCATACCACTTGATTCTTGATAATATGGTTTCTAGTGCTTAAAGTTTTGCCAAATTTGTTACATCTTCTAAGATAAGTGTTTCATTATCAGACAGACTGATGTTGCTTGTCCTTTCTACATCTTCCAAGGTTTCCTTAAGAGAAAAGTTGTTTTGCGATATTGTTGCCATGGTCGAAGTGTTAGAGAGAAGGGGAAGAGATTTTAGAGAATAGGAGATAACAGGCTGAGGGTCTTTAAAGAGAAGGTAAGCTAGGGGTTTGTAAGGTTCATCCGGAAGAAGAATGGGATTTAAAGGGTTTCTTACTAGTCAAGAAAGACCTTTGATTTTCTCGGGAATTTAAGATATTTGATTTCAACGGTTTCGTAGATTTTCAACCGCCAAGGTTTTAGAGGGGACATCATTGCTCATTAAATGCATTTAGTATGATTATGGATGACATGGAAAGGTGCGTTTTTTCTTTTATCTTAAACGACGGTTTTAGGAGCTGATACGACTTAATTTTAAGCGCACTTTGTTATCCTAATCGTCGTGTTGATAAACTATCTATTTTAGAATAGATTTATATATTTCTATCGTTAAATGTTGTTTGGTGCTAAACAACCTAGTCCTTTCTATCGTCTAAGATGTGTGACATATGGTAAGAGATTTGACCTAGATGCTACCATGGTTAGTTTTTTGCTTAGGGACTTCCTAACCTTAATCATCCTATTATTTTCTCTATCTGAAATATCAACAGTTCATAAACAATTTGATCTAGCCTAATAACCTACCTAGATGTTATTTTGCTATTAAACGACTGAACTTCTTTTCATCTACTAGAATAACGGAATATTGAGTTGTCAATTGCTAGACGCTTGGTCATTTTTGATTGCATGTTAGAGTGATAATCCTTTTATGCATCAGAGCCAAGGTATTTGACATCTTTTGCTTAGAGAATCCATATAATTATTGACATGACATATGTCCACTTTATCACAAATAATGTATTCTTACGCAATTAAGTTCTTACTCTAGAGTAGATTAATATTGTAAAGAAAGATGTTACTCATACCTATTTCTCCAAAGCTTGGTCTCATTCTTTTTGTCTATTTTGTTGAGACAACTTTCTCCTTCTAATTTGAATCCATTGTGGAGAGAGTTTGATTGTTGATTTCCATGACAAATACTCTTTTTGGTCTCATCAATCTTGTTATTTTCCAGCTTCCTTGACGAATGCTAGAAGCTTTCGTCGTGAGATTTATGCTCTCCATTATGCCTTCCATGGACTTACCCAAGTCCCTTCTTTTAGACAATCTCTTCATGACTTGTGAGCTCAATCACTGAGCAAAATATTTCTTATGTCAAGAGAAGGATTTCATAGTCTATTGTCATCAGATTTTCTTGGTACTCTAAGAGTGACATCCTTGATTCTTCTGAGTCTGGGATAGCTTGGTGAAGTCTATTAGAATGATGGCTGATGTAGTAGAATTTTCTCAAAGACTCCAATTTCCTTGAGAATCATTTGACCTTTCTCCACGAGAACCTATTAGAATGTGATGAAGGATATGTATTTCCTTGTCATAGATGTTGAGCCTGCTTCTTGACTTCCCTGAGAAATCCTTCATACGTTGGAGATGGAAAGGTGTGGAGAAGCTTGGCAATTGACTTTCATGACATGTACTTCTTTTGATCTTACCATCCTTACTATTGTCCTGCTCCCTTGATGAATGTTGATGGCTTTTGACATGAGTTTTGTGTTCTTAATTTTATGTTGTTCATGGACTTACCAAAGTCCCTTCGTACTTACGAGCATTGTCTCTTATGTGAGCTTTTCTTTGAGCTCACAACATGATTTCTAAAAGAACTATGTTAACATCCTTTTAGATAAACTTCTCGTGAATTGTGAACTTCTTTGTTGAGCAAACAACTTTTTAAGTTTGAAGGAGAGCATAGTTGTGTAGCGTAATCTAATTTCCTAAATATTCTGAAAATGACCTTGATGATCATTGTTTTGTACTATTCACTTAGCTTTCTACACCAAATTACATTAGTGAATTGTGTTTAATTCTCCATTATTGTCTCATTTTCACTATTTGGGCTTAATTTGACTAGTAATTCTTATTTTAATTAATTTGAATTATTTGGGCCTAATTATTCCAATTATTATTTACAAGACAATTTTGGAATCATATTTTGGGACAATAAGAGGGCTGCCACATCATTTTCCATTATCCACGTCAACATTATATTTTAATTTCGTTTTATATTCATTTTTAATGTAATTGGGTAAAACTTTATGGCTTTGAGCCCATTTTTTGGCAATTTTTGTAGAAGCCCATATGAAGGGCATAATTGTAATTAGGGGTTTATAAACACCCAAAAATCATATTACTGGGCTCTTCTTTCTCTCTTCACTTTCGTTTTTCTTAGGTTTTAGAGCTCTTAAACGTTTTCCAGCCTCCCCCTCCCCCCTTTTAAGGGGTTTTAGGTTTGCTTTTCCTGTACTGAATCAGTTAATTTTGTTTCATCAATTCCAGTTCTGGATTTCGTTTCAATTCAGTTTTGCTTAATTAAATTTTCCCTTGCTTTTATTTCCTTCTTTTTTGTTTCCCCTATTTCGTTTTCCCCAATTGTGTTTTCAGATTATATTCTGTCTTCCTTTTTAATTGTAATTTTGCTGATGCATTGCAGTTTCATTTTTTAGTTCACATTTCCCTTGTTTTGATGATTTCAATTTCGTTTTGTTGTTTGAATTTCGTTTTAAAGGTAGCTTAAGTGTTCTTGGTTGGTCATTAGTGAAATTGCATCGTTTCCATGAGATTTATTAATCGTAATTGTGTTTCTACTTCTCTGACTTTGCTGATATTGAATTTGTTTGTGCACTTCCAATTGGGTACACGCTTAGTTGTTGAATTGGTGTTTAATCTTCGCTTAGTTGATTAAATTGTGTAGTTGATAACGGTTGAATTTACCATTATTTGTGATGCTATTTTAATACTAAAATAACCCTTTTTGATTTTGAAGCTAGCTTAAACTCTTGTTTTAGTTGAATTTGGTAAATAAGTGAAGAAAGATTATACTTTATGAATTTGATCAATAATTCCCTCAATTTTGTAGGTTATTGGTATGATTGGAAGAGGAACAAAAGTGTCAAGGACTTGGAACCCAAGAGGGACAACATAAGCATCGGGAAGGAAGGCTGAAGAAGGACCATAAGGGCGTCTGGCTGCCCTTTTTAGGGGCCCTCAACGTCAGAAGTCTCGCAAGGGCGCCTGGTTGCCCCTATTTGGGACGTTGAGCGCCACTCTCCTCGTAAGCACGCTTGGGCGCCCCCTCCAGGAGCGCTGAGCGCCAATCAACCACACCGCAAGTCGCTTCATTGCCCTCAGCCAGGGCGTTAAGGGCAGTCTCTTCATAGTCACGCTTGGGCGCCCTTAGCTGGGGCAATAAGCGCCAACGACGTTGGCCCATGATCCAATGTTGATCTATTTAAAGGCTTTCACACTCTAGGGTTCATATCTTTGGACGACTGAAGCAAGGAAACACTATTTTCGACCCTTTGGAGGGAGATTGGGCATGCAGAAGCTTTCCTTCTCACTTTTTAGGTTTCCAGTCATTCATTCTTCCATTGTAAGCCAAGGTTCTCCATGACAATGGAGAACTAAATTCATTTGTTGTTGGGGATGGTGTAACCTCTAAACTTTCATGTATTTGAATATGATTTAAACATTTTATGCTTCTTTCATTGAATGTTAGTGATTTTCTCCTATTCTTAATGCTTGTTATGTTTTGGTCACTTATGACTTGATGTTTGATTTATTTGAGTATTGAAAAATATCTTATGAATCATGATCTAGAGGATTTCACCCAAAGGGAATATTGTCTAGGGATAGGGATAGGACGTTTGCTTGTCTTAAGCTTCTTTTCTTAATGCGGAATTGATTGTTAGGGTTTTCAAGAGATTGTTAATAATCAAGACTAGGCTTTTTACAGCGAGACATCATGTTCTAAGTAATTTAGAAAGTTACATTACATTCCAATGAAGAAGATGAATTCTAATATGCATGAAAGTGAAGTATGTGAAATCTAACCCCAACAATATCTTCATTTCATATTATCAATCTCATTTATTCATTCTTTTGTCAAGTCTCAATTGATCAATTTGCATTCATATTTACTTTTGTTGCATTTGCATTTAAACACCAACAAAATTGCTTTTAAGTCTTTATTAATTAAGGTATTACACAACTTTTAAGTAAACACGAGTCTCTTGGGAAACGATACTTGGTCTTACCATTTTATATTACTTTATACAATTTGGTACACTTGCCAATGAGTTAACAAGTTTTTTGAACCGTTGCCAGGGACTCGTGGTCATACTATACTTTTGTGTGATTCTTAATTTGTTTGGACTTTTTCTTTATTTTTACTGTTTTTAATTTTTATTTGTTTGGGCTAATTTGGTGCTCTGGTCTGGTGTTTTATAGTGTATGCATGACAAGGTTCGCACTAGGAGAACAAAACTATTTGAACCTCTTCTTACAGGTCTGGAAAATAGTAGAAGAAGAAGGAAGAAAAGGATTTCCAGAGAACTTTTTCCTTCTTCTGAAACTCTTCAACAACCTTTCACATTATCTTACCAAGAGATAGAAAATATGGCTGACAATCAGAATGGTAGACATACCTTGGCAGGTTATGCAATAGTCATAGGTCCTCTTCATTTTAATAGCATTGCAAGGCCGAAAGTAAATGTTGCAAACATGGAGATGAAGCCTGCTCTTATTCACTTGGTACAGAGTCATCAGTTTAATGGCTTAGCTCATGAGAATCCATATGAACATCTGACATCTTTCATTGAAATATGCAATATAGTGAAGATTAATGGTGTGTCAGATGAAGCTATCAAACTTAGCTTGTTTCCTTTCTCTTTGGGAGGCAATGCTAAGATATGACTAAGTTCATTCCCATAGAATAACTTCACTGAGTGGGAAGATGTGGTGGCTAAGTTTCTGAACAAATACTTCCCTCAGTCCAAGATAAACAAAGGGAAGCAAGAAATCTCTTCTTTCCAGTAGGGCATGGACGAAACCCTAGGTCAAGCATGAGATAGATTCAAAGGCTTATTGTGGAAAACTCCTACTCATGGATTTGATGAACCTACAATAATCATTCTTTTTCTTGGAGGATAAGAATCACAAACTAAATTGATGTTGGATGCCTCAGCTGGAGGTAACATCAAGAACAAGACTCCAGATAAAGCTTATGAGTTATTGAGAATATGACTACCAATGATAATGAGATGCATAATGAAAAAGGTCAAGTCCAACAAAAAGGAGTTCTTCAGCTACAATCTCAATATGCTCTATTGGCTCAGAATAAGATAATGACTTAGCAACTTGAGGCCTTGATGAAGAAGCTCTCTCAACTTCCTAAAGAGCTTCAAAATGTTTCTCAAGCTCAACATCAACTTTGTGAGCTATGTGGTGAGGATCATATCAATGGACAGTGTGCGATGCAAGCCAATACCCAAGAAGAAGTCAATTTTATGGGTAATCAGGGTCGCCAAGGTAATTACAACCAAGGGTGGAAACCTCACCCAAGCATGGGTTAAGGGAAAGCTGGACAATTCAGTAGACCACCACAGTAGCAATGGCAACCACAACCCTCCTTATATGACAGGACTACAAAGCTAGAGGAGACACTCCAACAGTTCATGCAAGTGTCAATCTCCAATCATAAAATCATTGAAGCTGTCATTAGAAATTTGGAGATGTAGGTTGGCCAATTGGCTAAGAAGTTGGAGGAGAAACCTGAGAAGAATTTTGGGGCTAATATTGATGGTAACCCTAAAGAGGAATGTAATGTCTTTATGACTAGAAGTGGTAAGATGTTAGAGGAGAGAAAAATTGAGAGAAAAGAGAAAGCTGAGTTGAAAAAGAAAGAAGAAGAGAAAGAGAGAAAAGAAGAGAAGAGAAAAGAAAAAGAGAGAGAAGAAAGAGAAAAAGGAAAAGAAATTGAGAAGCTCCTTCCCTGTCCTAAAGTACATTCAAGGAAGGAAAAAGAGAAGCAATTTGGACAGTTCATGGAGATCTTCAAGCAATTGGAGATTACTGTACCCTTGACCGAAACACTACAGCAAATTCCTGCTTATGCAAAACACTTGAAGCAATTCCTCAGTAAGAAGAAGAAATATTTAGATGAGGAAACAATTGAAGTGCAGGGTAATTGCAGTGCCATTATGCAGAAGAATCTCCCTCCAAAATTCAAAGATCTTGGAAGTTTCAATATCCCTTGCATCATTGGGAATCATGACATAGGAAAGACTCTAGTTGATTTAGGGGTTAGCATCAATCTGATGCCCCTATCTATGCTCAAAAAGATTGGTGGTCTAAAGGTCAAACCTACAAGAATGATCTTGTAAATAACAGATAAATCCATCAAGCATCCTTATGATGTAGTAGAAGATGTTGTGGTCTAGATTGATAAACTCCAATTCCAGTTGATTTTGTGGTGATGGAGACGGGGTAAGATGTAGAAATTCCTCTCATTCTTGGAAGACCATTCATGAAGACAACCAAGGTTGTAATTCATGTAGATGATGAAGTTTTAAAATTGAAAGATCAAGATGAAGATATGACTTTTAATGTCTTTGAAGATGTGCAGCCAACTCAAGCAAAGCAGACTAGTCATAAAATAACAGATGAAGTTCTACTAGTGACTAGTCTACCTAATCAAGATGTTAAATTGGTCAAAAGGAGCCATAATTGTTTAATTAACGAAAAAATGAATACTAAAGACTCAATTAAAAAAATAAAAATTTTAACAATTGGATAATTTTTTTTTAACAAAATCTCAATAAAAAAAATCTAAATTTTAGAACTTAATTAAACTTGAAAAAAAATAACACCTAAATTTATGAAGAACATAAAAACCTAAATTTATGAAGAACCTAAATCTTAATTAAGCATAAATGAAAATAATTGCTTCGTGACTAACATTACCTTAATTCATTTTATCCTTTCTTCTCTTATAAATCCTAAGTGAAAAATTAATAACTGCCAAACAATCTAACTCAAGTTACCAGTAATGACAAATTATGCAAGAGTCAACAATTCCTTACAAAAAGCATAATAATAATGCTTATAACAAGCCTAGTTTCAAACATATTTTAGACCTTGTACAAAAAACAGATAAAATTGATGATTACATTGGCATAGAATCCATAATTGTTCAAAGGGAATGACTTAGCTATAACAAGGAATCACAAACACGGTCTCAGGGATTTGTCCGAAAAGGGTGGCCCTGAGTGTCTGGTTTGGGAGGAGCATTGTACAACAGATCATGGATTTTGGAATACATCAGCATCTGAGAGGGGTCACCACCACTACTGCTCTGTGAAGCACGAGAACTCTCCTGCAATTTGATCTTCTCGTAAAGATACTGTTTCTCAGCCTCGGCTTCGTTTAATCGTTGTTTCAGGTAGTTGCTAGTAAATTCTTCCTCTGATTTATCTTGCTTGGCAAGAGAAATCCTCTGGAGCCTCTCAGCCTCTCGTTTAGCCTCATTAGCCTTCAATTGGAACATATCAGCCTCCGCATTTTTGAGCCTCACAATTTTCTCCAACTCTTCTATCTGCAGCTTCCTTTTCTGCCTCTCCATCTTGAGCTCTGCCACTTCCCTGGATTTGTCAGCTAATTCACGATCGCAAGCTTCGAGGGCCATGCGAGCCTTCTTGAACATCCTCATCTTCTCATCAGCTACTATTTCCATCTTTCTTATAGCCTCCTGCACTACTTCAGCAATTCTATTACATGCATCTTGTGGAGCAATCAACCTTCCACTTTCTCCATTTTCCAAGCCTTTTGGAGAGTCTACCTCAAGCTCTTCAATTAATATATGCATTGATTAGAACAAGAGGGCAGCAATACTTACACGTTACAACCACGTATGTCAACCCTCCCAACTCCCCCCCACATCATACACACAAAAAACAATAGCCCTTGCTTAATAAGAAAAAGAAAGAAATTATAAATGTAGCATTGGCACTATTGATGATGTCTTCTTTTATAATTATAATGATAGCGAGTCATTGCTACCCATTTTCTTCCCACGGGAAATTCAACTTCAGGGTTCAATAAAGAGGAAATTAGAAGGTGCAGAAATAATTTCAAAACATGCAACGAGAAACATATACAACGCTGTAGTCTAACAGCCTTATTTATCAGTTCTATATATAGTCTGTGTAATAATGTAGTCATGAAATTCAATAGATATAAAGACAAAATCGAAAAAACGTGATATTGCCTAATCGTGTATATAAGAAGACATAAAAAGCAAAATTTCCAGTACCTTGGAAAAACATCAAAATTGCCCTGCAAGCAGCCTTTGAATCTACTTTTTTAGTTTTCAATTTTTCCTTCAGATCATCACACTTCCAAAACAACTTCCTCCCTCGAGGGTCTTTACTCCCGTGAAAGATCCTGCTAACATAATCAAGTTCCCTCATTAAGGCTTCTCCATCCCATGAAGGTGCACAGTGCTGGAAAACATCTTTAACCCAACCCAACAGTTCTGAAGTCCTATTGCAAGCTTGACACCGGAAAACCATTTCAGTGGGTCCCACCCCGCTCTTTGAAGAAGGGCCAATGCAAATAAGTTGCTGACGAATGGCACAATCTGTGTGAGTCCAATGAGAACACAAATCACATCCAATCCAGCGGCAAGTATTCACCTCAAAGTCAAACTTGTTGCAGATCACACACATGCAAAGATTGCAGAAACCATTAGTGCCGTTGCATATTTCACAGGTACAATCATCAGCTGGAAGCTGGTTTTGGCACGCTATGTTTCTGCATCTCTTATAGCCAAAGATCTCAATCAGGGAATTCTGTGAAAGACTGATGCTAGGATGCAAAAATCCCTGAATTCCAGTATTTATTGCAACAAGGATTTCAAGTTGCACTCGATGTGCTCTGACCAGTGTCTTGGCTGTCAAATCAGTTCTGCCCTGAACAAACTTCTGCAAAATGAAAAATTCTTCTCTATGCTGTGAACCATTCCCTCCATCAAGGATAACTCGAAGTCCATTTTTCAACTCTTCTAGATACTCCTCAGGTAGACGATGCATTTTTTCACATATTGTACCGACACTTTCTCTGGCAATATCCTGAAGAGTAACTTTGTCTGCACTAGAAACACGGTGAATCACATTCTGCTCAAGGCAATTAATCTCTGCTTTTCCATTCTCCGTCTTCTTTGTTGTAGCTGCATCAGCTGTAGGCCATGTTTCTTGAGAACTTGCACTTTCAGCCGGAGATTCACGGAGATTGTCAGAGTTTGATCTTGGTTCATCAGGAGACAGAACAGGATCTGAAGAAACAAGAGACAGTGATGTTTGTAGTCCCCCAACCTGTGATTGCGAACGCAGAGGGAGCATTTTTTGAGAGGACCCCTGGTCGATGCTACAGAAGAAGATGATACCATTTAAAAGATTTACACTGTTGATGCAATCACTAACGCAGGGGATTAGATGCACATTTATAAACCACAACACAGTTTAGCGCAATCATTGTTAAGAAAACCCCAAAATTAGGGCTTACGAAAACCCTCCGTTAGTTGAATTAATTTGGGGATTTAGTCAACTATCAGCGCTTGTTACCATTCAATAGATGAAGATCCGACTAGAAATGTAAATTATAAATAATAAAACAAATTCATAAAGCTAGCAATCAAGACTACGGTAAAATGCTTCTCATCTTGCTCGACATCCTACAAACACCAACATATGAACTCTGCAGCTAATTGCTTACTCAAATAATTCCTTAATATGAAAATCAGTAAATTTGCTTACTTAATCAAATAACTGAGAAATTTGGTCGTTCCCGTGAGAACACAGATATAAGAATCACACTCTAAACAGCAAAAACTAGCTTCCGCTTAATCAAGGTTTGGAACTAACAAACTGTGCAAAAGTTAAAAGAAGAAATGAAGTTTGAAATTAGAGGAGCTTACTGTCCTGAGGAACCAAAAAGGCAGATCGAATAATATTGATGAGATTGATTCAACACAGCAATGATCTGAAAGAAGAAAACAGAAGAAACCTAACTCGACAAGAGGCTGGAAGGGAAAGCCGTGTTTTTTTAACGCAGTGGGTGACCGATTAAGCCGGTTCTCCGCAGTAAACCCGTGACCAATAACTAGTCTGGTCGTGACTGTGAACTTGTTGTGATTATCATCTTCCATGCTGACATTTGGGAAACTCACTTTAATGGTTTTATATTTCTTTAATTCAATGTTATGATTGAAAAATTATTCTTAAATATGTTTTAAATAAGTTATGTTAAGTTTTTCAATATATATTTTAATTTTAAATTATTTAAAATAAAAATACAAATTAATAATAAAAGTTATAATAGATATTAGAAAATAATAGTTCTATCGGAAGAACTACTTTAGTGGATGAATAAATTTGCCTGTTAAGAAGATGTAATGGTTCCTGGACATAAAAATGTTTCCTTTAACCTTCTAACATAAATAAAAATCAAGATTCCCACTTTCATATTTTCGATAATAGAAAAGCTCATGTCAAATAATTTTTTGTAAAGGTGACTGTATATACTTAGTACTTTTGATTAAATAATAATATAATTTTTTTTATAATTATCATATATTAAACATAATATAGGATTAAATAGGAATAAATATATTTATTTTGATTACGTTATAGTGTTTTTAATATTATATATTAATAAAATATATGATTATATAAATAAAATATTGCATTTGCTAATTTAATATATAAAGGGTAAGTTGTGATATTTATTAATATTATCTTATATATTTAAATATTTATAACTTGTTATTGAGCGTAACTTAATGACAAGTATTTGAAACCTATATAATAAGTAGATTTATTATGACATATATATGGAGATATGTTATAATACGTAAATTGGGTCAATTATAGTACATTTAAAGTTACATATAATGTAAAATTTGTCACAATTAGTTTATTATTATAGGTAATGCAAAATTTGTCAAAGTAAAGTTACTATATGACATGTAATGCAAAATTCATTTTGTTTTACCTTTTTCCTGTTCACTTAATTTATCTATTAATCCCAAACAATTCATATCATTAGACCAAACAATTTCCAAGCAAATCAATTCATACATTAAGTTATTCAACAAAATTTAAAACATTAAATTGTATATACATAAATCTACGACCTTTACAACTTTTACAAATACTCTCCATAAGATTGTAAAGTAGTATAAACCTAAGATATTTCTACAAGTTGTCACTAACACTCAAAAGAAAGAAAGTCCACTTGGTTCTAATTTTTTCCATCTTGTTATCTTCGAATGTGGATGAATCACTAAATATCTACAAAAAACATAATGAAGTTAAACAATATTGTA